GAAGTAATACTCACCTCCTGGAATGAATGTCAGTGTTAAATGATATCATATGTGTAAAGTGTTCAACATGATGTCATATATAACATGATACAACATAGTAGTAATAACTGAAATAAAAATACAGGCCCTGTGTTGGTAATACAGATGATAGCATACCAACCTGCAGTGCTAGAAGCCACCACGTAGATACCTGCAGGTTCACATCCCATGTTGCACATGCCTGGTCCAAGATCCTGGCCAGCTGGAAGGCTACAGAAGAGAATCATAGCATGGCAAGACCCTATTGAGTGTCTCTCTGCATCTCTCTCCCCTGTATTTGTACACATATGGTGTATGCATACTCTATCATGAGTAAAATAAACTTTAAAGTATATTTAAAATAAAAATAATAAAATGTGCAACTACAAGTCAAAATCCTCATTTTCCAAATGAACTTTCCAAAGATAAAATTAAAATAAATCTCAAATCTGTCATCAAAATTTTTAAGAGCTGAGCACTGTAAATCTAACATTTCTTCAGAATGTGGGAACACTTAAGTAGGGATACCCATTTCTCTCCATGAGAATTAATTTATGGACAAAAGCGGGCTTTCTTGATTTTCAGAGATGCCATAAATATATGGTAAACCACATTGTCTTTAGGTTTACATTTAAAAAGATTTAAAAATATTAATAGTTTAGAAAGAACTATCCTAAGTAGCATAGCAGAGAGGACCTCAGAATCTATTGTAGGTTTTTGAAGTGAAAAGAATACAATTTGTTGTTGTTTTCTTTTTCCAATTTGAATTTTTGTTATTTCATTTTCTTGTCTGATTACATTGGCTAGGATTTCCAGTATGATGCAGAATAGAGGTTGAGAAAGTAGACATATTTGTCTTGTCTCAGGTTTTTTTTCTTTTTTTCTTTATTTTTTAAAATGTACTTTATACATTCAGTCACTATACATCACTGCAATTTGTAAAGTGAATTTACCCAGCTTGAAGAAACACAATTCTAATAGGGTTTTCACACATAGTCCAAAAGGTGTTCATTTTAAGATTATGCCAGTCCCTCTCAGACTTGGAAACCTCAAAATTACAATAAAAAAATGGTCTTTAGGATTGTTGAAAGTCTTTGCAAGAGAAAGTGACTAAAGATGCATCTAGCAGCCAGTCATATTGCAGTTTTTCTTACCTCCACAAGAGAAGTTACCCACTTTTCCTCATTCACTATGACGCTTTGACTTTGGTAAGAAAATGGATTGTATCATTCTTGAACACTCCTTTCATGTTCTGCTACATTTGATTTATTCATTCTCTATCAATAGCATTCAAATAATTAGTACAGTTAAGAAGAGTCCCTACCCTGCCTCCAAATTAACCTGTCAGTTGGCTCCTCTGCTTAGGGTCTTTCACAAAGCTACAAAATTTCAGCCAGGACTGTGGTCTCTTCTGAAAGCTGGACTGGGAAAGCATTGGCTTCCATGCTCACTTACATTGTTGTTGGCAGGATTCACTTCCTCATGGGCTGTTAGACCAGCTTTCTGCTGGTTGTTGGCCAGAGGCAATTCTTAGTTCTTTGCCATGTGCTTCTCACCCATACAGCATCTTGCTTCATCAAAACCAGCCAGAGGGTGAGTCTTCTAGTAAGGTTGAAGTCTCAGTCTTTTGTAACCTAATCACGGAAGTGACACCCTTCAATGCTGCCACATTCTGTTGGCTAGAGCAAGTTCCTCGAGGGAAGGAGATAGGTAAAGTGCTAAGTAAGAGGAGGCAGGAATCTTTGGGAGCTACCTCAGGGATTCTACTATAGCACTTAACAGCACATGCCCAGCCACAAAAGAAGGAAAGCAGTAAAGAGGAGGATGCAAGCAATAAGAAAGAAATGCAAAAGTGGAAAAGAAGCAGGGAAGGATAGACCTAAAAAAGATAAACTAGAAAATAGCTTGGCTACAAGATGTCTCTGTCAGGGTCCCCTGTGTAGATACACACTTTATCACATTAGCACCATAACCATGGATTTCCTATTTCTTATTTAAAATAAGAAGATAATAGGAGCTTTCTATACATCTGGAGTTTAAAGGAAACAGAATAAACATAGTAATGCTAAGTTTAAATAAGCAAAATGTGTTTGAAATTATTTTTTTCATTAAGGTTTGTTTGTTTTGTTTGTTTTCCAGGAAACAAAGTTTTTTGGGTTTGTTTGTTTCAAGTTTTGGAGTTGGGTTTATTATTCTTGCCATTATGGGACATACATTACACAGGGAATATAAGACCCTGAACAGCATTTGCATGTGATAGCCTCTGATTGTCTCAGCCCACATGGCAAAATTATATTTTGGTTCTGTACACTACTATTAATGGTTCTATATGTAACTTAATTGTAAAAATGATGTTGTAAAGGATCCTAGATATCATTTATTCCAGGCTCTCTATTAAGAAAACTGAGGCCCAAGTAACTTGTCAAGGTCAAGGTTAAATAATTTTGGAGCCAGGACTAGAGTGCAAATCTCTCAACTTCTTGTCTAGTGCATTTTCTCTTCTTACCTTCTGTGCAATTGAGTAGTCAACATGTAAAATATTCTCCACAAACTGCAGGCATTAAAATAGTGGTGGTTTAAATATGTTTATTCTTGGAAAATTCACTGTGTATGTTATAATGATATACAGCAATTGAATATGAAAAAATAATTATAAAAGAAAAATAAATGTTTGAATAATAATTAATTTTCTTAAAGGACCTAAAATAATGTTTTCGATGATTCTGCCAATTAATAAAGGAACTCTTCCTAGTCCTTTGCTGATAATAGGTGCTTTCCTAACAAAACACACATCTTTTTCACTGTATTAATTTTTAATGGATTATACAGGCTCTTATACTTCAGTGCTCTAAGAGACATTAGCAAACAACACAGGGCTGACCATCTGCCCGTTGGTACCAAGACGGTGCCTATCCATGCCCCCAAACTCATATAATTTCTCAGTTCAGACAGGAAATTATTTCTTAACAATGGTTTGACCATAGAATTTATTTCAAGAATAATTCTTGCTGTCCCCAACATTTGCTTCCAGGAACAAAGACATGTGCGCGACTCGGGATTTGCTGAAGATTCACTTGCTTGTGGTCAAACTATACAGGGCAGCAGATGTCCTTAAACAAGAACACATTTCGCAAAGCTGAGCTTCTTCACTACCTTAATATGGCTGTGAATGGAAGGGGAATGAGGTCTTCATTTCCTAGTCCTATCATCTCTTTCTTTCTCTGCTTTTACTCTTTATAGGATCCCTACCTCCCTTACTCCCCCACTGGATAGAAATTCCACAAGGACCAAGACTTTTATGAGTTTTGTTCACTGCTCTGTCTCTTAAACAGAGTCTGGCACAAAATTAATGTTTAATAAATGTTTGTTGAATGCATAGTTGAACAATGAATTTGTTTAGAAGGTTTATAACATCCCATCTCTCAGGAGTTCATTGTCAGAGGAAAAGGAGGCATATTTTGATTCAAGACACCAAGTATGTACCTAAAATATGGAATCAATAATTTTTTCCTATTTCTTTGCCTATTATTTATTTTCAAATTCTCTTTTAAAGTATTCATAAAGATACCTCAAGATTGAGAACCTCCCTAATGTTCTAGAATGAGAGTTATAGATCAGATGACAAATAGATAAAGCTTACAATAAAATTGAAAACTAATTATATAAGGAGCAAAAAATTAAAAAGTAAGAAAAAGAGGAACCAGCAGATGACATGAAGGTTACATCTCTGGACTCCCACTGAGTTGACCATGGTTTGAATCCCAGGCCTGTTGACTTCAAACTCGTGTCAGGTGTGTGCATGCATGCCAAGAAACCTGAGAGTAACATGGGGGAGAAGGGATTGTGGCATGGCTATTCCCCCTAAGAATTGATTTCTCACTTTCTGTTTCTCTGTCTCTCTGTCTCTGGCAAGCACACACTTCCTATTGCAAAAATCTCTTTAAAAAATAAGTAAAAGAAAAGATACCATTTCTAAAATAGCCATGGATCCCAGACCACTAAGAATTAAAAATGGGTGTTGAGTCAGATCTGTCTGTTGCACATGGAGAGCTGCAGATTTCATAGATGCAAAGAATGTTGGCTAACATTCTAACACACAGGCATTCTCTATACTTCTCAAATTAAAATTGACACATGTATAGGTGTATACTGATTAGAGATGGCATCTATACAATGAGTTTATTGGATAAATCTTTTAAAGGAATATAAGCATATGTGACTTTTTAAAAATCTATAAAATGAAAAATTCGCTGTGGTGAATGGAGAATGTTGTGGTCCCAACTCCACATCGCCCGTGTTCCATCTGTTACCAGCACAGTCATCTATGGTGAACAGTTGTCACCATACACATTATTGGTTACCTTACATTCACGTGCCTGCCTGGACAAGGACCCTCAGCCCATGTGCAAATGCTGCCTTCAATTTCATGGAAGTTAATATCTGCAAGGCAACCCTCAACCATGGATGAGTGTGGAGTTTGTAGGAGAACATCCCAGCCTCCCATATTTCTGTAGGACACGGATTCCACATAGCTGCTTGGAAGGACTAGAGTGAGGTCAGGTCCCAATTGGCAACTGGGGTAACCAGCTCTATAACACACAGATTATTAGTTGTTCTCCCTCCCCTTCTTTCTCTCCACATTCCCTCACTTCTAGTTCCTGAGATCAATCACCTTCCAAATGAGCTACCTGTATGCAAACCATTTCTCTAGCTCTAGTTTCTTAAATAAGCCCTAAGAAGTAATGCTTGAAAGAAAGAAAAAGTGGTTTGTCTTTAGAATCAAGGGTTGACACTGGTAAGTTACAGGCTCTGAATCTATGATCCAGGAAAAAGACCTTTCTGGAAGACCTTGGCATTACTGCCCAGATGCTATAAGTGCTGTCTTTATCCCAGTAGTCTGGTTTTGCACAAGTATGTGTCTCATTGGGAACGTATATGACCCTCCTGTTTTCATGCCTTCCTTTTTCTTTTTTATTCTACAGATTCTTCTGATAAGCCTACATTCACCAAGTGCCGTTCACCTGAGCTAGAGACCTTTTCATGCCACTGGACAGATGGGGCTCATCATAGCATAAGGAGCCCAGGATCCGTGCGGCTGTTCTATACTAAAAGGTGCTGCCTTCACGCCTTTCTGATTTTTCCCTCCACACATTTGTCATTGAAAATATAATGAGCCACATGCAGTGTAGGAATGGATATGATTTATTTCAGAGATTTAGTACATGTATTTATTCTTTTACTTTAAAAAGAGTAATTAAACTCTTGTTATGTATTGGGTACTGTTTTAGGCCCTGGAAGTACAACAGTGATTACAAAGGATAAAGTCCCTGGTCTCATGGAGTTTTTTTGCCAGCTGGGGAGATATGAATAATAATAAGTAAATAAAATAAATGTTGATACTATGGGTTATTAAGAAAAATAAGACCAGAAAAAGGAGTATCAACACTATCCATCTATGTGTGTGCATGAGAAAGTGAGTGTGTCAATATGTAGGTGAGAGTGCGTATGGAAATGCATGAGTTTGTGCATGTGTGAGTTTGGCTGAGTGTGCGGGTAGACGCTTAAGTGCTATTTGAAATGGGATGAGATCACAGGCTGCTTTTCTGGCATGTTGTGTTAGAGCAAAGACATAAATGAAGGAAGAGAGGCCGCGTGAAACTCTGAGAGAAAGGCTGTCCAGGCAGAGCAGACTGCCAGTGCAAAGACCCAGAGGCAGTGCTGGCACGTTGGAGGAAAGCCCGTCAGCACAGCACAGGGGGCACCAGGTAGACAATGGGAGTGATCTGGGAAAAGATGAGAGTGCTCCTCAGGGGGGACTGTGCTAAACCTTGTAGGACGTGGTAGGCTTTGAATTGTACTTTCTTTATGGCGAAAAGGCATAGGTGCGTTCTGAAAAGCTGTATGTTTTTAAAGACTCAGGTTTCTATGTAGAGCGTCTGTGTTCCTCTTTACTTACTTTCCTTAAGAGACTATGTTGCTTTTCTCATCCATTTTTACTGAAGACCTGAAATAATAGGAAAGAGTAAAACAATTACCTTTCATTATAGTCACTAAGTAGTTTATTACTACCCTCTCATCTGACATTATTTCCTTTTGTATTTACTCTTATGTTGTTTCTTTCTACCTTTTTGAATTTTAGGCTTAAACAGTTCTTTATCACTTTTCTACCCAGCCCCTAGAGAAGTAGTGAGGACCCTTTTTTCGGGGCTCTTGTTGTTCATCAGTCCAAGGATGATGATGTCTACCCCACAGAGGAGATGGGAGAGGGAAGGGAAATGGCAGTGACCAGTTAAGGACATGAACTCAGAGCCTGAAATCTGCCTTTCATTCTGGCTTTAGCAGTTGCTCACCAAGCAATGGTTGGCAGATTAGTCCGTCTGCACAAGCTCAGCTTCTTCTGCAGAATGCAAATAATGGACTTGTCCCGTGGCTTCTTTAAGAGTTTTATTAGACATACATGAAAAATACTTGACACAATGTCTCACTTATAATAAATGCATTTGTCCCTTAGTATCCATAGGGGATTGGTTCCAGGATACCCCCAGCCCCACCCCAGACATGGGTATCCTGGAGTTCTCAAGACTCTTAATTGTGTTGTATTTGCACCTAAGTTATGAATAGACTGTCATCTACTTTTTATCTCATATTACAAATAATGCCTAATACAAAGTAAATGCTGTGTAAATGACAATGCTCTTGAATATGTATGGAATGATGTTATTTGTAAATGGAAAAAGAGAGTCATAGTAGGTATAATTTCCATGCTTTACTTCAGCAACTTGAAGAGCCAGCTCAATCAAACAAATTTGAAAAGATATTTTTATAGGTATACTTAACCAATCTGAATAGAGGAATAGCAGAATTACCTCTTAAGCTGGACCCACTTTGTGAAACTAGGTTTATGCCACCGCAATATTCATCACATTTAAGTGAACAAAAGGTAGACCCAAAGGTATGAAGCCCTCACAAATATATACTTGTCATCCATCAGGACCACATCTCTCAGTATAGCCCACTCCTGCACACCCCAGTCCTTTCAGCATCCCTAAATCCAGCACAGGCTCTGCACTAGCAAGGATGTTGCTGAAGATGTGATCAGGTGGAAGAAAAGTCTCAGACATAACCCACAGGGGTGACTGAGTTTTTTCCCTGTTGGTGGTTGAAAGCCCATCAGTGTGGAGATATTGTTAATATCCTTAAACACCTCAAGTACAATCTCTTGATTATGTGCCATCCCATACTTGAAAAATTGTTATGTTGTATTATCTCTATTAAAATGGAACTATATTGAATATCTTAGACAAACTGGCCTAAGCCTATAACCCAGTATATCTGAGAGGGTAGAACCAAAGGGTTAGGAATATCAGAATTAGACCTCACTCTTTAGCATATGAATGTATTAGACTTCTCATTACCACTTACACAAAGAGCACAAATGCACATTTTGCCTTCTGCCATTGTTTCTTAGAATTCAGTTCCCAGGCAACTCCTGAAACTATAGAATCATCCCTGTCATCTCCTTGACACATAAACAAAACTGTCACATGGTTTTCTCCAAAACCAGAGTCAGGGAAGGGGGCAGTGCCATGGGCTGTCCATTCACTGGCCTGGCCTTGGCACCTAAGGCATAACAAGATCTAAGCAGACCTGTCAGCAGTGTAGGCACAGGCCTGTGTGTTTTGCTTGGCTCTGCTCCTTGCCAGGTGAGTTGGCAGAAGAGGCAGCCTTGGGGTGTTAAGGCAGCTGATTCAGAACAGTCTCTGCCCTCTGTGAGGGAGATGGTGCCAGATTCAGCCTCTGAGCTTGGAGGGGACTCGGCATGAATACAAATCTCAGGCATGGCCAAAGCAGCCTCTGTGAAGCATGTCAGAGTTTCTCTGTTCTCAGCTTCTTGCTTGTAAATACCTTGTTTTTAAAGGAAGTGAGCCTGCAAATGCTTAGTCTTTAAGGCTGTACCCCCTCTCTCTGCCATCCCCCACACTAGCCCTCCTCCAGAAATTACCCTGGCCTTTTATTAAAAAAAAAAAAAAAAAAAAAAAAAAATTTTTTTCTCACCTCTGTAAGAATGCTTTAATTGCCTTTTTTATAAAAAAAAAAAAAAAAAAAAAAGAATTATTTCTCAATTTTATTTATTTATTTATTTATTTAAATTTGACCAGAGAGAGACAAAGAGAGAAGACAAGAAAGCAAGCTGCCATGTCCAAGACTCAAACCATAGTCTGTCATGTGGAAGACCAGCACCTTAACCACTACGCCACATGCTGGCCCCTACCCTGGCCTTTTAAAAGAAATTTTTTTCACGCAAGATTATAAAGGAAATTGAAAGAGAGAAAGAGCATTTTCTTTTCCCCTAAGAAAAGGGTCAAATACTAAGCCAAAATGCATAAGCTGCATGTAATGAAAATGGCTGCCCTTAAAATATAAAAGATGTTTTTGTTTTTATGATTTCCTTTTCAACTAACTTCCTCTAGATGGAAAGCATTTCTTCTGTTCTTTACCTCATTTTTAATGATAGTCTCTGCAACTGCCACTCCTATTTCATAAGATAGTCTGAGAACAAACCTAAAACACTTAGCTTTGGAGAGTAAGAGGAGAGAGAACTTCGTAAGTTGGCTTTGACCATCTCTATAGCAATTCAACCCAGTGAGGGCAGGTGACAGACTATCTGCTTTATGAGTCTGTTTTCTTGTCAAGATTTAATAGTTTAAAAAATAAGTTTTAAATATTTATTTAAAATAAGATACAACTTTGGTTAATAAAAAAGGAAACTGGGAGTTGTGTTTTGAATGAGCTACTCCTGATTCATCATAGTTAAGATAAGTGCTTTAAGTTGTTTGTCCTGTAAGCTAATGGATTTGGGATAATCTAAACAGAATTTTTCACACAGTCCTCATGGGACTCAGGGTCCTGACATTGCCAGAGTTAATAAACCATGTGAAACACAGCAGAGATAACCTTCTTATTACAAATCCAGACCTGCTAAGCAGTGTCCTGCATCTTTGAAACATCTTAATACTTTGAGTTTAGTAACTTTTATACTATCAGTTATGCTAAATAACATTTGGTATTCCATCTCCTATCATATCAAGCCTCATTTCCTGGGCAGTCATATTAAATTCCTTTTAATGCACTCTGTTTAGTTTAAAAGTCAAGACCAAATAAGCCATACTATACTTCAATGACTAACCTATACCTAGTTTTTAAAAATTTTTCCCTACTGCTGTAAATACACATACACACAAACACATTTTGTCCTTTCTTCTGCCCTTTACCCACTTACTTTTGTCATCAGGAATGTATTTCCCTTTCATCCGAGAGTATATAACATTTAAGAATCTCAACCAGATTGTAAGCAGCAATCCCCTGTCTCAGACCCTGGAGTCTCTGTCATTTTCATTCCAAGTTCTTTCCAACAGCTGATGAGCAGCTGTCTCAAGACCTCTCTGATACTATACAAGTTTTCTCCTTGTGCCAAACAGATCAGCCTGGAAAACAGCTGTAAGGGAATAATTATGTGTCTTCTCCCAGCTTCTCATCCTTGCCCTTCCTTCCAGGCCCTGTGTGATGTTTGGAACAATTCCTTATACTTTACCTTCCATTTCAGGATCACTCAAGAAAGGCCTCAAGAATGGAAAGAATGTCCCGATTATGTCTCTGCAGGAGAAAATAGCTGTTACTTTAATTCATCTTATACCTCTATCTGGACACCTTACTGCATCAAGCTAATCAACAATGGTGGTACTGTGGATCAGAAGTGTTTCTCTGTTGACCAAATAGGTAAATGACAGGTTTGTGCTTCATCTGACACAGTCTTAGAGTAAATAAATGGGGAAGCTTGTAACATCCAAGTATAATCAAGTAGGGAGACTTTGTAGTAATGCTCTGTGGGTGCATGGAGATCTATTTTACAGGAGATGGGATCAGCTGGCATTTAAGTTGATTCTAACACAAAGCAGCCTAGCAGTAAATATGAAGAAAAGAATGGGAGTTTGGTGGAATCTTTTCCTTTAGGAGTTCTTTTTACCTGGATTGAATTCTTTTTTTTCTTTTTTTTTTTTTTTTTTTTTTTAAGAAGTTTTTTTGGAGAGG